GAAGTTTTTGAGCTCTATAAACCTCACTTTCTCCTGTGTTCGGTGCTATTCTCCCAAACTCCACTGGAAGGTGATATCCTGGTCTGGCAGAAAATAAAGCTACCTTAATTTGACTAAAAGAATTTGGGTGGGATTAACAGGCGAGTGAGCCACAAGGAGAATGCTACTAAACAGCTCTCTCCCATGGCCTCTGCATCAGTCCTTTCTCACAGATTCCTGTCTTGAGTTCTACTCTGTCTTCCCTGGATAATGGACTACAGGCTGTAAAGCAAAATAAGCCATTTCCTCCCCTGGGTTACTTTTGTCATGGTGTTTCATCACAGTAATAGAAGCCCTAAGATGGGAAGGCTAGCCCAATGAAAGGGTACATCAAAGCTATATGGACACTTACTATCTCACAACCCAATTTTTAAAACTTGGAAGGATGGTAGAATACATCCTTTAAATTTAAAAGACAGGAATACTGGAGTTTAAAGGAGTAGGTGGGGCTGAGATGGGATAGGATATGGAGGATATTAGCATTAACTGTCAAACTTGGCACAGCCTAGAATCTCCTGAAAAGGCATTTCAACTGAGTCTATTAGGTTAGTCTCTAAGAATGTCTATGAGGTTTTCTTGATGATAATTGCTGTAGGAAGGCCCAGTCCACTGTGGGTGGTCCATTCCCTGGGCAGGTAGTCCTGGGATAGATATTAGAAAGCTAGCCGATGAAGACGCCATGCACTTCAGAAACAGAGCTCCGAGACCCCTGAGCCGGAACTGATCTGAATTCCCAGTCCCTGAGGAATAGCTGTCATCATGGTACTAGATGGCGCCATGCAGCTTCCAAAGGAAGGAAGCGACCAGTTGTCCTACCCAGCTATAATGCCTACAAGCCACACCAATGACCAGCATGACAAGATAATCTTCAGGGTGCAGTAGTGGTATGAATATCTTGGCTGTAACCAGTAGCTCTCTAATTGGACTTAAGATCCACTCAACAAGAGAGAAATCAGGCCTGGTGCTGAAAACATGATTAATCACTCAATGCTAGTGAAGTCAGGGTTAGAAGAGAATCCACAACTTCTAATTTACTAAACCAGCAAAATCCCTAACAGCAATCTATAAGCACTTGCTTGATACCCATAAATAAATGTAATCTTCACCTCTCATCAAGGAAACATCTCTGTAACAAAGAGACCACTACAGACCACAACCGATCAAAATGCAGAGTTGTGAAGTCCAGCACCAATGAATCCCTCTATGAAACACTCTCACCACACCTAAGGCTAAGGGAATATTGTGGAGGAGGGGGAGAGAAAAATTTTAATAGCCAGAGGATCAGGAAGTTTGCTGTGAGATGGTGTCTCCTAGTAACTTCAAAAGCTATATCCATAAAGTCTCACCAACATGACTGGCCAAACATGAGCTGAACAAGATGTCATCGATGAACATGCCAAACTGTATGAGAGGAAGACCATGAGCCTTCAACCGTACACAAAGAACTATAGTCAACTGAATAAAGTTGAGAGCAAGAGAGGTGATGTTTCCCAAGGAAGAACACACCAATTGATTACTCAGTGCCAAACAGTCATCCCTGAAAACATACAAGTAGATGGTTGTGAGCAACTGTGTGGGTGTTGGAAACTGAATCCTGGTCTTCTGCAAGAGCAGCCAATGCTCTTACCCACTAAACCATCTCTCCAGCCCCACGACAACTTGATTGGATTTTAGGCTCACCTCATGAGACTGGAACTCATACATGACACAACTAAAGTGGCCAAGACCCCAATATTAGACAGGTCATGGGCCTTGGAGAAAACCTACTATTATTCTGCTAAAGTAGCAGAAATAAATGATCCCCTGATGACATATTGCTGTGCCCACAGAACACAGCATTGCTCAACCCTCATCAAAGCTTTTTCTTACAGTTGATGATAATTAACACAGAGACTCACAACTGGACATTGTGCAGAAAGGGACAGACTTTGCAGCACTCAGGGCTAAACAGGACGTCTCCAGCAAACCCCTATCAAGGCTCAGGGATCTAAGCCAAAGAGGAGGTGGAGAGATTCTAACAGTCAGAGGTGAGGGATGACTCCAAGGAAACAGTATCTTCCAGTTACGACAGGGACTGATGCCCATATGAACTCACAGAAACTACAACCGCGCACACAAGCCCTGCAATGAGAAGAGGAAGTGGGCACAAAGTCCCACTCCTAACCATGAAGCCATTTACAGCTGATCTCTGCTGGGAAAATAATTTCCCCTGGGAAAGGGAAAAAGGCCTTGCATGGAGTATATCAACTGAGGGTACCAACCACACTTCAAGGCAGATGCGATGCTAGTGAGTAGTTGACCAACACAAAGACTTTTGTTTGTTTTTGGTATTTTGTTATTGATTTTCTTTTTTTCTCTCTTTTTTTAGTTTGTCTTTATTTTCACTTTTTGTTGTTTTTCTTGTTTTATTTTTAGAGAGAGAAAAACATGAAATTGGGTGAGGGTGAATAGGGAGAAATCCCACGCTTTATACTCAATTTTCACTTAATGATCCACACATTCCGTGGGCACCATTGTCTATCCATGCAAGACAATTCCATTTGAAATATATATACTATACGGTCTAATATAGATAACACGTTTCTGTGAATTTTGACTAACATAGTCACAGTGGAAGTACACCACAAAGGCAGAGGATGCCTCCCTAAGAGCTAGCGATGAAGGAGGCCCTGTGGGGCTCCCAAGCAGCACAGCTGTTGCCGCTGTCCTTGGCCACACACCATACTCCATGGTGAGAACCCACTCCCGAAGACTGCGCATTCGGCTGCCGGACGGAGAGATCAATCACAAACTGACCGGGAAACTCCCTCCCTGTGGGCGAGCTTTCACAGTGCTTGAAGGTGCTATGTAAGCTGTGACAGGGGACGCGTCGGTGGTTTGATCCAGCGCGGAGGCCTGGATGCTGCAATATTAACGCTCCAGGTAAGCTTTGCCTACTGGTGCCAACAGCGGCAGTTGGTAGTTAGTTATGGGGTAACTAACCAATTTTTAATTGGATCCGAGGCCCACACCACAGGTGACAATTCCATGCCTAGTACCATAATCCTGTCAAAAGTCCATAGCTGGGGAAGTCATGGGCCTTATAGAAACTACTACTGTTACTTTGCTCTCAAATGCCTCCTAGACACTTGAGTTCATACCCATCAACCCGGGCTGCTCTCAGCATTGGCCAGAGAAACTTCTTGCAACAGGCAGGAGCCGATGGAGAGATACCTAACTGAGAATGAAAGACTGAGTGCACCAGGCATGTACCTCAACCTCTCCCCACACCAGCGCTTAAGAAGCATCATAGAAGAGAAGGAAAAAAAAGAAATAGTTTAAGAGCCAAAAGACAAGCAGGAGTGCTTGAGTGCTGCCTTTTGGACATGCTGTGGCTGCCTTAGTTGCACAAGATCAACCCAGCTAAAATTCTGGCACAGATCTGATAGATGGCCTCAGGACCTCCCTTCCCTCTTTACTAATGGAGGGGGGGCTGTGGGGGTGAGACGTTTCCAGGGAGAGTAAACCATTCTATTTTGAGGACGTGGCCTCTGACAGGGCTCTGATACGCCAGGGTATGGCCCCACAGCCATGAACATATGGGAATACCAGATGGACTTAGTGGGTTAATTAAAAAAAAAGTCACAATGTTGGGATGGGATGGGTAGATACAGGGAGAGTTAGAGTGGGGAGATGTGAGACGTGGTCCTATTTCATTGTAAACATGTATGAAATTCTCAAAAACAGAGTTCTCACTAACGCACATATCACAAGCCAGAATGCTGCAATACAATATCCAGTGTATGCTAGTATTTTACAAAACTGCTTCATTTAAGCTAGTCTCCATTATATCGATTAGGATTCTGAGTCTCTGGGAAAAAAAAAAAAAAACACTCTCAACATAGTAAACGCAAAGAGTACTCCCGCTCACCTTTTCTCTGCCTTCTGACTGAGATACAGATTCCGGATACCTAAACAGCCCTTCTCTCCCTGCACCCGAGGCAAACCAACATTCTGCTCTGCTCTTCCTCTGATGCTTTGAACATTTGAGTCCCAGCACTCACAGATCACCGGAGACGAGCCTTTGTCCAGCATATGCTTTTCTGTGCACAAGAACAAATTCAGGGGTGCTTCGTCCCCCACAACCAAATGCAGCTGGTGCACAAGAGGCTCCATCATGTTTGATTAAATTTATCAGTGTGTTGGCTGCGTGGATGGGGTGTGCGTGTGTGTGTGTGTGTGTAGAGGCATCTTCCAAGGTTGCTCTCCACACTTTTGAGATTCCGTGGATCTGAAGCTTATCAATTCAGGTGGGCCAAGGGGCGTCAAGGATCCACTTGTCCGCACCACTCCCACTCCTCCAGGGCTCCCCCACGCTCCAGCCGCCCTGCCCCTCTCTCCCTCTCTCTTTTCTGTTTCGTTGTTTGTTTTCAACGTGGGTCCTGGGAATCTGAACTCGGATCTCCGTGGGGATTTTACCAACTCGCAGCTCTGCAGACACAATTCTATTCTAAAACCAACTCTTCGTCCCACGTGGCCGAGACTGTGACTGAATCAAGCAGGTAAGGCCCGAGCAGTTAAATAGCTCTCAAATGCTTTTGCGGTCGACCACCTGGACAGAGACCGCCCCGCGTCCCCGGCCCAAAGGCCCCGCTGGCCCCGCAGGTGGTCCCGCCTCCTCCCCTGCCAATCAGCCGCCGCTCGCGCCTGCGCAGAGCCGCGTCGGGCTGCGGTGGGCGGTTAGGACGGGCGAGCCCCTTCTCTCACTGGCCTGCCGGCTATGACGATCACCTACAGCTGCGTTGCGAATGGCCGAGCGGTCCTGGCGGAGCTGGCCTTGACCGGCGGCTCCTATCAGGTACCTGAGGGTTCGGCTCCTCGAGGCGGGCGCCCGCCGGGCCTCACCCCAGGACGCCGGGTGACCTCGGAGGCCGCTGGGATCCGGAGGCCCCACCCGGTCCAGGAGCTCTGGCTTGCAGGCGGGAGCCGCGTGGGCGCCACCCAGGGGTTAGGGCTGGTACTGCACGCGCACGTCCGGCCGGGACGTAGAGCATAGCCATCTTCCCAGCTTGGTAGTCCTTTTACAGGATTTTCTCTGCCCGGCCGGGACCTGTACTTCAGCACACACTTAGTGGACGTGTAATAGTTGCAAAACCCCGGGGTTAAAAAAAAAAAAAAAAAAAAAAAAAGTGAGGGCGACCTGACAGCGCAGCTTGGAATCTCAGCACACACGGGGTGGGAGGGCCATGGACTACGCAGCCACCGTCTCAAAAAAGTAAAGGCGGAAGGTGCCACGCTCAGTACACCGGAGAATGGCTGGGAGACTCCTGTTCAGAGAAACTGCGCCTAGCCTAGCACACGAAAGGGAGGATGAAGACACCGCAGAGAGAACATGGTATTTGGAGACTCCCAAGAACCTCACTGTGGCTAGGACACAGTGTGTGTGTGTGTGTGTGTGTGTGTGTGTGTGTGTGTGTGTGTGTG